AAAAGATAAGTCGGGACTTCCGTGGTTGGCGCAGTGGTTAAGAATCGCCTGCCAATGCAGGGGACACGGGTTTGATCCCTGGTTCAGGAGGATCCCACATGCCGCAGGGCAACTAAGCCCATGTGCTGCAACTACTGAGCCTGTGCTCTAGAGCCCACAAGCCACAACTACTGAAGCCCGCGTGCCTAGAGCCCGTGCTCTGCAACAAGAGAAGCCACCGCAGTGAGAAGCCTGCACACTGCAACAGTGTAGCCCCTGCTCAGCGCAACTAGAGAAAGCCCGTGTGCAGCAACAAAGACCCAACACAGCCAAAAATAAATAAATAAATTTATTAAAACAAACAAACAAAATAAACAGTCGTTGCCAGAGGTTCATGAGGAGGATAGAAGGGATTAACAGGTGAAGCACAGGTGATTTTTAGGGTGGTAAACTATTCTATATGATACTATAATGGTGGATATATTGTCAAATCCATAGAATAGTACAATACAAAGAGTGGATTTTAGTTAATAACTGTGTCAGTCTTAATTTATTAATTGTAACAAATGTGCCACACTAATGCAGGATGTTAATAATAGGGGAAACTGTGTGTGTGTGTGTTATGTGTTTCTCAAAATGGCGTAATATATGGGAACTCTGTACCATCTGCTCTTATATTTAATATGTTTTTAAAAGGGGAAATAAGCAAATGTTAAAGAGATGTTGTTAAAACCATGAGTGTGCAAAGCTGAGGTATTTTATAGCGTGTAACAAAGTAACTTTAGAAAATTTAAAAGGCAGGAGGAAAGCCCTATAGTAAACATTGTAATCAGTGATAGAGTGACAGCTTTTTCTGAGATGGGAAAGAGAAAAAGATGTCTTTCATTACAATTATTGGTACTAGAGAAGATCACAGCCACTTCAGTAAGGCAAGAAAAAGAATAAAAAGTATAATTATTGGAAAGGAAGGAAGAAAATTGTCATTATTCTCAAATGTATTGATTTTGTTTGTAGAAAATCACTAGAATATATAAATGAATTTGGAAATGTTGCTGTATGCAAGACGTAGTATATGAAAGTTAAGTATATATACTAGGAACAATTAGTAAATGCCATTTTAATAGTAACATCATCAAATAACCGGGGGGGGAAATCTAAAAATGAACAAAACATCTATGTGGAAAACTACAAAAATTACTGTGAGAAATTAAAGAAGTCCTAAATAAATAATGGAGTATATCATGTTTCTGGGTTGGAAGACTTAATATTGTCAAGATCTCAATTCTCCCCAAAGTTTCTATAAATTCAACATAATTCCAATAAAATTTTATAAAGTTTTCTTGTGTAAATAGATATGCTGATACTAAAACATAAGTGGAAATTAAAAAAAAGAAAAAAAGAGTAGCCGAGAATAACCAAGGTAATTATGATGAATAAAAACAAAGTTGGGGACTTCCCTGGTGGTCCAACGCAGGAGGCCCAGGTTTGATCCCTGGCCAGGGAACTAGATCCCATACGCATGCTGCAACTAAGAAGTCCACATGCCACAACTAAGAAGTATGCGTGCCGCAACTTAACATGCTGCAGTGAAGATCCCACGAGCTGCAACTAAGACCCAGGGCAGCCTAAATAAATAAGTAAGTAAATAAATAAATAAATATTTTTAACAAAAGAAAAACAAACTTGGGCTTAACGTTACCAGACATCAAGAGCTTAAAGCTTCATGATAAAAACCGGGTCTTATAGGCACAGAGGCAGACAGACCAGTGAAGCAGAATGCAAAGTCCAGAAGTACGGGCTTCCCTGGTGGCGGAGTGGTTGAGAGTCCTCCTGCCGATGCAGGGGACACGGGTTCGTGCCCCGGTCTGGGAAGATCCCACATGCCGCGGAGCGGCTGGGCCCGTGAGCCATGGCCCTGAGCCTGCGCGTCCGGAGCCTGTGCTCCGCAATGGGAGAGGCCAAAACAGTGAGAGGCCCGCGTAACGCAAAAAAAAAAAAAAAATCGATTCCTATATACTCCTGTGTGTATTTATTTATAACCAAGTTGCAATTTTAGTGCTTTTCTAATGAAGGGTGAAGTTAACACATTTGAGGTAGGAAGCAATTTCCAGGAAAAAAAAAGTTTTGGAAGGGCCAGAACCTGATTTCTGACTACTCTTATTCCTTTAGCTATCTCTGTTTCTATTACCAATGTTCCAGGCTCTGTCATTCAGGGTGTTTATTTTATTCATTGGAACATGATTTGGGAATTTGGCTTAATTTGGCAGTTTGGAGTCTTATCACGCCTATTTAGAAAAATATATATTTATTTATTTGGTTGTGCTGTGTCTTAGTTGTGGCAGGTGGGCTCCTTAGTTGTGGTATGTGAACTCTTAGTTGCGGCATGCATGTGGGATCTAGTTCCCTGACCAGGGATCAGACCTGGGCCCCCTGCATTGGGAGCACAGAGTCTTAACCACTGGACCACCAGGGAAGTCCCTTATCATGCCTGTTTAACTTGTGCACATTCAAGTATCTGTGTATGTGTGTTGGGGGGATAATGTAAATAATGAAGGCAATCTACTTTTTCATTCAGTAATCATAATGTTGGGTAGTAAGCATGAGATGAGAAATGCAAACTTGTGTTCCAGCTATTGATTCTCACTTGTGTCCGAATGTGTGAGCATCTTGTTTGAGTTAGTGTGATTCTAGTGTTTAAAGAGACATGTTTTGGGAATTCCCTGGAGGTCCAGTGGTTAAGACTCCGTGCTTTCACTGCTGAGGGCTTGGGTTCGATCCCTGATCAGGGAACTAAGATCCCACAAGCCACACAGCTTGGCAAGAAAGAGAGAAAGGGAGGAAGGGAGGAAGGAAGAAAGAGAGGAAGAAAGAAAGAAAGAAAGAGAGGAAGAAGGAAAGAAACATATTTTCCATACAGCATGCTCACTCAACACAGACTGCTTCATCTGCTGTGCAATTGAAGAAATAGATTCTAGTCTAATCCTGAGGGAACAACAGCTGTGTTAAACTTTCTAGGGCACTTTATGTAGGGTCATGGGCTTGGGCTCTCAAGCCAGACTACCTGGGTTCAAATTCTGGCTCCGCTCTTCCTATCTGTGTGGCCTTGGCAGGTGCCCAGTGTTCCTATCTGTAAAATGGAGATCGTAATAGCACCTCATGGCATTGTTGTGACAATTAAAGAGTGACAGCTAGCACGTGTAAGTGCATAATCAGTGTTAACTATGATTATCAGTATTGTTATTATTACTGAGAGGTGATAGAGTATGTTGGTCTCCAAGATGGTACATTCTTGAGGGATTTTCAAGGGAAACTTAGTTAACTCCTTTCTACCTTCAGCTTGTACTTTAGAACCCAATGCCAGTGTGTGATATGATTCTGCTGTACCATGCTCATTTCTCTATCTGGTCCTTGGTCTTTTCGTGAGCTGACGATCAGTTGTGGCTCATTGTGGAATGGTTGTATGGCACAGAACACAGACATTTGTGGTGGTGGGGCAAGATGTATTACCACAGAAGCAATGTAGATGTGCAGACACCCTGAAATATGTTTAATATATATAAGTACACATTTCCAGCCATCGGCATTTTCCTATGTACAAAGTTCCATTGAGTCTTTTTAAGATCAGTGCAGCCCTTATGCTTCTGTCCTTTGCTTTTCTCTAGAAAATGATTGGAGCCTATATTGTACAACAGTATCTACGCTGTCACTGGCCCCATGGTGCTGCCTGTGGGTGCTTTATTGTAGGGTGCAGTGCTCTGGTGTTTTATGGATCTACTATCTTCTCCAAGCCCATGGATTTTCCATGCACTGCTGATTGTTACCTTTGGAGAATTTTGGAGAACTTTTTAGGTGGCTGTTTGCCGTTTCACCTTCCACACACACAGGCACAGACTCTCATATTTACCTTCCGGTACTATGGGGATTGAGACCCTATTGTTGTCCCTGACCTCGTCCCCATCCACTCTTTGTCTCTCAGGAAAGCTGCTCTTTGTTTTCAGCTGTGACTGCGGAGCGCTGAGGCACACACAGCTATTTGCCACTGTGCTACATCAGCAGCTCATCTCCACTGCCAGAATGTCAGAACCTCCCTCTGACCCTGCCATGCTGACAGCTACTGCTTCCACTGGGGGACTGCTGGTGTCAACTAAGCTTTTGTTTGCTTCTCTCTGCTTTTCTTTTTCCCCATCTTCTGTAACTTCTTGGCTTTTGCTCAGGAAATGAGCTCCATCTTTCTGCCCTGTGAGCAGATAGATAAAAGGTGAATGGGTTTTATTGTTGAGCTTTTCTTGGCCATGTTATTTGAGGCTCAGGCACCTGAGCCTGTTTCATGCATCTACCACCAAAAGTGGGGTTTGCATAGGAATTAGAATGATTTAGCCCTCACTAGGCTCAATGCCTGGGAGGTGAGAGATTGGTCTTTTTTTTTCTTTTTTTTAAAGTTGTCTCCTACAGCTCACTGATTGATGTTGTGTTCATCTATTTATTTATTTATTTGGTTGCACGGGGTCTTAGTTGCGGCCAGCGGGCTCCTTAGTTGTGGCAGTTGGGCTCCTTAGTTGCGGCTCACCAGCTCCTTAGTTGTAGCATGTGAACTTTTAGTTGCGGCATGCATGTAGGATCTACTTCCCTGACCAGGGATTGAACCCAGGCCCTCTGCATTGGGAGCTCAGAGTCTTAAGCACTGCGCCAGCAGGGAAGTCCCGAGAGATTGGTCTTTGAATAGAACAGGTTATGATCTACTGTTCCATGTCCATGACTTAGAACAAGGGAAATAAAAGTTTAATGAATTCTGGGTTAAGGGGATTTGTGTAGTGTGTCTAAAACAGCTTTGGAATGTGCAAACATTTAATATGTCATGGTAGTGATGAACAATTATAGTGCACTTGTGTATTACGAATTGAGGAATCTTGAAAAAGTTATGAATATCCAAATGGCTCATTAGATTTTATCTTTCAAGTTATAAATATTCTAAAATGTTAACACCATCTCATTTTTGTGCTTTTTTCCCCCTTTCTTCCTAGAATATTTTCCTTCTTGGATATAGTAACTTTGTGCCGATGTGCACAGATTTCCAAGGTAGAGTATTAACCAAATTTGTAATGAAGAAATATAAGTTTTATTAGAATGAGGATGAGTTCAAGTTAAAAATTAAAATGTCATCTTTTATATGTAACATAACACAATGTTATCATAATTCCACATTTGATTATCAGCTTAATGTCTATCATGAATAAACATTTGGAAATATAAAGGTTGAATCAAGACTTTCTTTAACAGTCGCAATAAATATATCTTTTTCACCCTAATCTCTCCCAACCTCCCAGGCTTGGAATATCTTAGCCCTGGATGGAAGCAACTGGCAAAGAATAGACCTTTTTAACTTTCAAACAGATGTAGAGGTAAGTTAACCTTGTTTTAGACAAAAGACTTTTTTAAAAGATAAGTAAACTGCTCACTCTTTCCTGCCTTTTTATTTTGCTGCATTTAGATTTAATATGAAGGTGCCAAGGTGGAATAGAGAGGAAAAAAACCTGGAAGATATTTGCATACTTCAAGACCAAAATTCTGTTTGCATTTTACTTTTTAACTTTTATCAGTAACAGACTTCTACTTTTCCCCCTTGATCATGTTTATAATCTAAGTTTTACCACTCAGCTTTTCAAAGCCTCACACCTGTATCATTAACACCTGGTTCAATGCTTATCTTAGGAGACTCTTGACAAATATTTATTGATCTGAAAACTCCATTGAGAATTCTAATTCAGCATCAGGAATGGAGAAATGGCAGAAGCAGGGACTCGGGAATGAGGCTGGAATTATGAGATATAACTCCAGCTCAGCCACTTAAGACATTTACTCTCTTAGTGCCTCAGTTTTATTATTTATAAAATGAAAGTGAAATAATCCTTAGAGCCTTTATAATTCCAGGATTCTGGTGTATTTATCTGGAAATATGTAAATATCCTCATTTAAGAGTGGTAAACCAGGTCAAATGAGAAAAGTTTATTTTAAAACAACTTTAATATTAAATACCAATTTATAACCAAAAAGAAACAGGGAAGTAATAAAGAGCATTGTACATAGTAATTGTTGGGAGTGCTGTTTTAAGGGTCTGGGGATGTTGAAGTTCATTATCTACCCAATGTTAGTAAAACCTTATTGATTTCTAGTTTAGCCAACTCAGTTACAATTGTATTTTTTTTTTTTTTTGCGGTATGCGGGTCTCTCACTGTTGTGGCCTCTCCCATTGCGGAGCACAGGCTCCGGACGCACAGGCTCAGCCGCCATGGCTCACGGGCCCAGCTGCTCTGCGGCCTGGGGGATCTTCCCGGACCGGGGCACGAACCCGCGTCCCCTGCATCGGCAGGCGGACTCTCAACCACTGCGCCACCAGGGAAGCCCTGGAATTGTATTTTAATTCAGTTACTCACATAGCATGTTTATCACTTGTTTTTATTGAAGTAAATTCTTTGTATCTTTTTTAATGGATAAGGAAATGAATGTGTTTAACAGTGAGATGGGCCCAAACAATTTCCTGTGACTCACTTAAGCTGGTGTTACCTACAAGAACTGATGGCCAGTGGTGGAGGCCCTTCACCTCCTTCTCTAGGTTACTTGCTGCTTGCCAGGCTCTGGTCCCATCTCAAACCAGTGGAGCAGAATCCCCTACAGGAGGTGGGGCTGAGCACAGCATTTCCCACTGCTCAGGTTGCTGTGCTCTGAGCTTGGAAGCTGGCAGGGGCCTCAGGGCTTCTCACTCCCTGGAAAGATAAGCTGTAGCTCCTGGCTTGGACCCTGGTCCATAAATCAGGAATTCTTTAATGCTCTTTCCAGACTACACGATTAACAGTGCCCTTCCCAAACATGCTGACGTGTAATTCCCCTTCAAACTGATAATCTGTAGTTCATGGTTCATTGTGTTATTTAGTGATGTTGAGGAGAACATTAAATTCCAAAAATTGTGGTCATTTCTTCTGGCCAAAGAGTCATTGTTTTAAAAAAATTTTGTAAAAAATTTTTTTTCTGTGGTTTTTTAATTGTCTCCTCAGTTTTCTTTGATGATTTTTCCAAACTACAACTTTTTGGAATGCACATAAAAAACTTTTAAATTCAAGATATTAAAAAATACTATTTCAGGACTTCCCTGGTGGTCCAGTGGTTAAGACTCCATGCTGGTTTGATCCCTGGTCGGGGAGCTAAGATCCTGCAAGCCGCGCAGTGCAGTGCGGTCAAAAAAAAAAAAAATACTATTTTAAGTAAATGTCATTACCTTGTGCATTATTTGATTTCACAATTTTAGCTGACTGCTGACTACAGCTATATAAACACATTGCAGAAGTACTTGAGTACTTCTACCAACGACAGACCAGTTTATGGTTTACCAGTTACGTAGAGAACTACATGTGAAAAATATAGTCTAATACTATTTAGTTCCCCCTTTGGGCTACCACTTTGAATCCAGGTTGATTCTGAACCAAGTGTGGGGCCTCCCATAGACACTAACAGGACCCTCTGGATGCTTATACTGGGAAGCATCCCATGGATAAACTCATGGTCTCAAATTCATTTCTTTGGGACGAAAGTGGTGATTTATGGATCTGTTGAGAGAAGAGAAAAGGTGCCAAGGATCAGGACTAAGAGTATTTACTGTGTGCCAGGCACTCTTCTGAGCACTTTTTGTATATTAATTAATTTAATCCTCTCAAAAACACCATGTTGAAGAAACTGAGGCACAAAAAGTTTGAGTAACTTACCTGAGGTCCCTCACCTAGTAAGAAGAGAGAGTAGGTACCTTGAACAGTGGGTTTCATGACTTGAATTTCAAAGAAAAGGCAGACTAGCACATGCAGGTGACTAATGTGCATTGGGCCTCTCCTTGAGCATCACTCTCTCCTAAGTAAACATCAGGTTTCCCTGATGTTTAGGCATTTTCCATGCCTTTAAAAGTTGAACATTTTGTTGTTAGTCCCCATGGTCATTAAAGATTCTGTGAGGCCAAAAATGAGAAATAACCAAGTAGTATGTTATCTAAAACTCATAAGTCCAAGGGTCTCTCCATTAGGCCTTATTTTTCTGTAAAGCCCTTCTTTCTAAAATGCATACCTACAACATATCTAATAGATGTTACACAGTGTCATTTGCATTTGAAAAGGATTTACTCATTTTTTTCTCTTAGTTGGAAACAGTGGAACAGAAAATTCTGAATGTAATTTTTTTATTCCAGTACAGTACAAAAACTTTTACTCCAAAAAAGGAAGAATAGGAAGTTTGTATAAACGTGACTAACTTGAAATGGAGAATATAGATGGTGTGCTCTATTTGTAGACATTGGTGTGAAATTGTTTTTGCTGTTTTATTTAGTACTTAAATATTTATCTTGGATTTCCAAGTCATAATGTTTTTCCTCCCACTGACAGAAATTTATTTTACAGGTGTCTGGAGTGTTGGTTCAAAAACTAATATTTATTTTTTATTTATTTATTTTTTTTGGTATGTGGGCCTCTCACTGTTGTGGCCTCTCCCGTTGTGGAGCACAGGCTCCGGACGCGCAGGCTCAGCGGCCATGGCTCATGGGCCCAGCCGCTCCGCAGCATGTGGGATCTTCCCGGACCGGGGCACGAACCCATGTCCCCTGCATTGGCAGGCGGACTCTCAACCACTGCGCCACCAGGGAAGCCCCAAAAACTAATTATTAACTTAGATAAGACTCAAGAAAGCATAGATAAAGTCACCAGCAATATCAGGGTTTGGATTTTCAACTTAATTATTAGCCAGATATAATATGTGTGAGTCCTGCTTCTGTGATACTGTAGTTTGATGTGTCCTAGTGAATTCTTAGTGCTTAAGAGTTCAGTGTCAAGATTGCTCTTTTATAAAGTGAGGATAATAAGTATTAAAAATGAAACAAAATGGCCTTTTCAATGTTTTCTCCCTTGTGGAGGTGGTAATTGTGCAGAACATACAGCTTTTAGAGTCAGTTAAACCTGTTATAAACCCCAATTCTACTACTCACTAAAGTGTAACCTTGGCAATTTAACCATTTAATTTCTTTATGTGAAAAATGAAGATAATGGATCCAATCTGTATTAGTCAGGATTCTCCAGAAAAACAGAACCAGTAAGATACGTGTGTACTATTTACAGTAGCCAGGACATGGAAGCAACCTAAGTGTCCATTGACAGATGAATGGATGAAGAAGATGTGGCACATACATACAATGGAATATTACTCAGCCATAAAAAGAAACGAAACTGAGTTATTTGTAGTGAGGTGGATGGACCTAAAGACTGTCGTACAAAGTGAAGTATGTCAGAAAGAGAAAAACAAATGCTAATACGTATATATGGAATCTAAAAAAAAAAAAAAAAAAAGATTCTGAAGAACCTAAGGGCAGGACAAGAATAAAGACACAGATGTAGAGAATGGACTTGAGGACACAGGGAGGGGGAAGGGTAACCTGGAACAAAGTGAGAGAGTGACATTGACATATATACACTACCAAATGTAAAATAGATAGCTAGTGGGAAGCAGCTGCACAGCACAGGGAAATCAGCTCGGTGCTTTGTGTCCACCTAGAGGGGTGGGATAGGGAGGGTAGGAGGGAGACGCAAGGGGGAGGGGATATGGGGATATATATATGTATGTATAGCTGATTCACTTTGTTATGCAGCAGAAACTAATACAACGTTGTAAAGCAATTATACTCCAGTAAAGATGTTTAAAAAAGTGTATATTAATATAGACATAGAGATTTATTATAAGGAATTGGGTCATGTGATTATGGAGGCTGAGAGGTCCCAAGATCTGCAGTCAGCAAGCTGGAGGCCCGGGAGAGCTGATATGTAGCTCCAGTCTGAGTCAGAAGGCCTGTGAACCAGCAGAGCCGGTGGTGTAAATTTCAGTCTGAAAGCTGGCAGATTCAAGATCCAAGAGGAGTTGATGTTTCAGTCCAAGTCCATGGGCCAGAAAAGATCAATGTCAGCAGTCAGGCAGGAGTTCTCTCTTAATCAGCCTTTTTTGTTCTATTCATGTCTTCAGTTGATTGGATGAGGCCCACCCACACTAGGGAGGGCAGTCTGCTTTACTCAGTTTACTGATTCAAGTGCTAATCTCATCCAGAAACCCTTACAGACACAGCCAGAATAATGTTTGGCCAAATGTCTGGGCACCCTGTGTCGCAGTCAAGTTGACACATAAAATAAATCATAAGTTCACCCTTTGTCAACTTGGCACCCATAGGCATGTCCTTTAACCATACTTAATTTCCAAATAAAGACGATAACAGAGGTCATAATGCCACCTAATATGATACAGCTATCCAGCGTACAACCCGAAAGACACTCAGCCCTTCCTCAGAAGAGGAGGTAAAGTCCTAGAGTCAATTTCACTCTTCTTGATATTCTGTGCCTTAAATACTTTGATGTAGAATTGACAGTACTTAAACACTTATGATATAAAGTCAGTACACGTTGTGTCACATGATACGGGGATAAGAGAGGGAAAAAATACATATTTGTACCACACACACATGCATTCATAATAAAATAGGGAGAAAATACTTATGACAATTATAGTCCTAATTTCTGTAACTGGTCATGTGGTCAGAGTTGGTATTTATAACTACCTTCTGCTTCCCATTCTGTATTCTCTTTGTCTTCAGCAAGCACCTCAGCTGGTCGTGGTTCCTTACCTGGTAGAGTGACCCAAACCATCATTCCTGAAGCCATGAGTAGTCTCCTTGGATTGGCTTTTAGTTTTCCATTGACTTTAATCAGAGGGCATATTAATACTAAGAGATATCCTAAGGGATTTCCTGTATTCCATACATAGACTCTTCCTTATTTCAGTGTGGAGCAGTAGTCCATGTGGTTGTTGTGAATATTAAATGAGCCATAGCAGGTACAAGAAAGTGTTAAAATCATGCCTGAAAAAGTAGAAGTGCTTAATCAATGTTCATTTTCTTTTTTTCCTCCCCTAATGTATCTGCCAGTACCAGCCAAAGTTCCCATTTTTAAAGCAAATGTGTTTAAATAGGGGATTGCTAAGAAGAATGAGGAGTAGATTTTATGATACATCTTCAAATTTTTAGAGTGGTAATGTTTAGCTAAAATAGAATTTCTTTTTTTGAGCAACATTGTTTTAGATCTCTGTGTTCCCAGCACAGCAGTGTTCCCCAAAAGCTTGACCTCAGAAAGCCTTGTAATTGATGGAGTAGCCATGAGCCCTGGCTAGGGAAGGCCTAACTCCAGAGTCAAGGCTTTCAAAAAATAGTGTGTGATTTAAAAAAAATACTTAATGTTTTCATTGAAAACATTTTTTCAGTGCTTGCAGCCCCTTTATACACTAGGAGCAGAAGTGGGATGTTGGAGAAATGTTCCAAAATACCTTCTATTACACCTGGAAATACATATTCAGTTCCTAAATTTCAGGTTATTTTGCTGTTAGATAAGCAGCATGAAACAAGATTTTTTCCAACTTTCTCCACTGAAGGGTCGAGTGGTGGAAAACATCTCAAAGCGATGCGGTGGATTCCTGAGGAAGCTCAGCTTGCGAGGTTGCATTGGCGTTGGAGATTCCTCCTTGAAGTAAGTCAGTCCACCGTGACTCACTCTATTGTGGCAGCTTGTAGCTGACATTTTCATCAGCAAAAATAAACCAAGCATATTATTTGCTTTTCTTCTGTTAAAATCTTTCTATGGTAATTTGCATAAGAGTAGTGAGAATATCATGATTTTGGAGCCAACAGGCCTGACCTAGAAACCGAGCTCCAGTGTTGTCAGGGATGTGACCTTGGGACAAACACTTTGTTGTCAGTTCTGTCTTCTGCAAAGAGAAGGCAGTTATAGCTCTTTCATGAGAATGTCCTGGGTATCACATGAAATAACACATATGTAGTACCTGGCACATAATCATATTATGATATTAGTTCACCTCTCTTCCTTTCTTCACTTTCCCATCTTCCTAGGTTCCTTCTCATAATCGTGGCTACCTTCTTGTATAAATTATACTAATTAACAAAATAATTCTTTCAAAAAATTCCTTAGCATAACCTGGGATTTTGCTTAACCATCATGGGTTGTGATTATCACATTCATTTTATAATAGTTTATAATAGTTGGATATACCCTATGCAACCAAATGCTTGCCCACCTCTTATTGGATAGCCATTATTTATTGGAAATGTTATCACTCCACTGTTAAGGACATGTGCTTTGAGCTTTTCTGGAGACAGGACATAATACCTTTATGTCTTTATCCTTGTGGCCTCTTGTATTGCTTGAGGTTGGCTAAATTAGGACACGCACTGCCCCTAGAATCTTGGAGCGGACTGCCTCTTGGAGACTTAAGCATACCACAGTATAATCAGTCACAGACCTCCAGTAAGAATGTGCAGTGTACAGTGATTTCAGACAGTAGAATTTGTAATTGAAACATCTGCACCATTGCTAAGAAAATCAATTCATAATATCAATATCTTTTAAGGATCAAAACATTCCCTCTGTGTTATGCAACACAGGTTTTTTTTTAAAAATCAATTCAGGTCATCAGAATTTTCTGATACTTCAAAAGCTTTGTAAACCAGTGGAACAGATTGATTCTGCTTTAACAGGAAGCTTAAATATACCGAATAGGTCCTAAGACGACTTGTAATAGAGAACATAAATCTAATAGTGGTTCCATTAAAGAAACTAAAATAAATGTGAAGATATGGATTGTCAGTGAGGAATATCAAAGAAACACATTCTCATCTTGGCACTTGGAATAGAGCCAAGATGAGGAAAAAACTATCCTATAAAGTGAAACTATAACAAAACTATCCTGTAAAGCTAAGAATGTTATTGGTTTACCATAAATTTTAGAGCCAAAATCTATGTTAATATCTATATAAATTTTTAATATGTGAGGCCAGATTACTGTGAGAAATAATGATAAGCATAATCACAGAATCATGATTCAGAGAGCCCCGGCAAGCGGGGGCTACTCTTCGTTGCGGTGCACGGGCTTCTCATTGTAGTGGCTTCTCTTGTTGTGGAGCACGGGCTCTAGGAGCACATGCTTCAGTAGTTGTGGCTCGCAGGCTCAGTAGTTGTGGTGCACAGGCTTAGTTGCTCTGCGGCATGTGGGATCCGTGTCCCCTGCATTGGCAAGCAGATTCTTAACCACTGTGCCACCAGGGAAGCCCTCAATGCCTTTTAAAAAAAATTTTTATTGGCGTATATTTGGTTTAAATATAGTGTTAGTTTCAGGTGTACAGCAAAGTGATTGAGTTATACATATATTCATTCTTTTTCAGATTCTTTACCCATATAGGTTATTACAGAATAATGAGTAGAGTTCCCTGTGCTATATAGTAGGTCCTTGTTGGTTATCTATTTTATATATAGTAGTGTGTGTACGTTAATCCCAAGCTTCTAATTTATCCCTCCTCTCCACATTTCCCCTTTGGTAACCATAACTTTGTTTTTGAAATCTGTGAGTCTGTTTCTGTTTTGTAAATAAGTTCATGTATCATTTTTTTGTTAGATTCCACATATGAGTGATACCATGTGATACTTGTCTTTGTCTGTCTTACTTCACTTAGTATGATAATCTCTAGCTCCATTCATGTTGCTGCAAATGGCTTATTTCATTCATTTTTATGGCTGAGTAATATGTCATTGTATATATGTACTACATCTTCTTTATCCATTCCTCTGTTGATGGACATTTACGTTGCTTCCGTTTCTTGGCTATTGTAAATAGTGCTGCCATGAACATTGGGGTCCATGTATCTTTTCTAATTATGGTTTTCTCTAGATATATGCCCAGGAGTGGGATTACTGGGCCATATGGTAGCTCAATTTTTAGTTTTTTAAGGAACCTCTATACTGTTCTTCATAGTGGTTGTACCAATTTACATTCCCACCAACAGTGTAGGAGGGTTCCCTTTTCTCCATACCCTCTCCAGCATTCCTTGTTCGTAGACTTTTTTATTATGGCCATTCTGACCACTGTGAGGTGATACCTCGTTGAGGTTTTGATTTGCATTTCTTTGATAATTAGTGATGTGAGCATCTTTCCATGTGGTTTTTGGCCATGTATATGTCTTCTTTGGAGAAATGCCTATTTCTTTTGCGAATTTTTTGATTGTAATGTTTGTTTGTTTTATTTGTTGTTTTTTTTTTGTGGTACATGGGCCTCTCACTGTTGTGGCCTCTCCCGTTGTGGAGCAACAGGCTCCGGACGCGCAGGCTCAGCGGCCATGGCTCACGGGCCCAGCCGCTCCGCGGCATGTGGGATCTTCTCGGATCAGGGCACGAACCCGTGTCCCCTGCATCAGCAGGCGGACTCTCAACCACTGTGCCACCAGGGAAGCCTTGTTTTTGTTTTAAATATTGAATTGTATGAGCTGTTTGTATATTTTGGAAATTAATCCCTTGTTGGTCACATCGTTTGCGAATTTTCACCCATTCCATAGGTGGTTTTTTCGTTTTGTTCATGGTTTCCTTTGCTATGCAAAAGCTTATAAGTTTGATTAGGCCCTATTTGTTTATTTTTGCTTTTACTTTTTTTTTTTTTGGGTGGTACGCGGGCCTCTAACTGTTGTGGCCTCTCCCGTTGCGGAGCACAGGCTGCGGACGCGTAGGCTCAGCAGCCATGGCTCACGGGCCTAGCCGCTCCGCGGCATGTGGGATCTTCCTGGACTGGGGCACAAACCCGTGTCCCCTGTATCAGCAGGCAGACTCTCAACCACTGCGCCACCAGGGAAGCCCTGCTTTTACTTCTTTTGCTTTGGGAAAATTATCTGAGAAAGTATTGCTACAGTTTATGTCAGAGAATGTCTTGCCTATGCTCTTTTCTAGGAATTTTATGGTGTCATGTCTTATATTTAAGTCTTTAAGCCATTTTGAGTTTATTTTTATGCATGGTGTGAGGGAGTGTTCTAACTTCACTGATTTACATGCAGCTGTCCAGCTTCCCAACACCACTTGCTGAAGAGAGTGTCTTTTCCCCATTGTATATGCTTGCCTCCTTTGTCGTAGATTAATTGACTGTGGGTATATGGGCTTACTTCTGGGCTCTCTATTCTGTTCCAGTGATCTCTATGTCTGTTTTTGTGCCAGTACCACACTGTTTTGATTGCTGTATCTCTGTACTATAGCCTGAAGTCTGGAAGGGTTATGCTTCTGCTTCCAGCATTGTTCTTTTTCCTCAGGATTGCTTTGGCAATTCTGGGTCTTTTGTGGTTCCATATAATTTTTAGGATTATTCTAGCTCTGTGAAAAATGTCATGGGTATTTTGATAGGGATTGCATTAAATCTGTAGATTGCTTTGGGTAGTATGGCCATTTTAACAGTATTAATTCTTCCAATCCAAGAGCATGGGATATCTTTCCATTTCTTTGAATTATCTTCAGTTTCCTTTATTAATGTTTTATAGTTTTCAGCGTACAGGTTTTTCACCTTCTTGGCCAAGTTTATTCCTAGGTTTTTTTTTTTTTGATGCAATTTTAAATGGAATTTTTTTAGTTTACTTTCTCTTTTTGGTATTTCATTGTTAGTGTAAAGAAATGCAGCAGATTTCTGTATATTTATCTTGTATCCTGCTACCTTGCTGAATTCATTTATTAGTTCTAATAGTTTTTATGTGGTGACTTTAAGCTTCTCTACATAGAGCATCATGTCATCTGCAAATAGTGACGGTTTTACTTCTTCCACTCCAATTTGGATACCTTTTGTTTCTTGTCTCATTGCTGTGGCTAGGACTTCCAATACTATGTTGAGTAGAAGTGAGAGTGGGCATCCTTGTCTTGTTCCTGAATTTAGCAAGAAGTCTTTCAGCTTTTCACCATTAAGTATTATGTTGGCTGTGGGTTTGTCCTAAATGGTCTTTATTTTGTTGAGATATGTTCCCCGTATACCCACTTTGGTAAGAGTGTTTTATCATGAACGATGCTGAATTTTGCCAAATGCTCTTTCTGCATCTTTTGAGATGATCATGTGGCTTTTGTCTTTTGTTGATGTGGTGTATCACGTTAATTGATTTGCATATGTTGAACCATCCTTGTAACTCTGGAATGAATCCAACTTGATCATGGTATATAATCCTTTTTATGTGTTGTTGGATTTGGTTCGCTAATATCTTGTTGAGGATTTTTGCATCTATATTCATCAAAGATACTGGCCTGTAATTTTCTTGCGTAGTGTCTTTGTCTGGTTTTAGTATCAGGGTGATGGTGACTGCATAGAATGACTTTGGGAGTGTTCTCTTCTGTCTTTTGGAAGAGTTTGAGAAGGATCAGCATAAGTTCTTTGTATGTTTGGTAGAGTTCCCCAGTGAAGCCATCCAGTCCTGGCCTTTAGTTTACAGGGAGGTTTTTTTGTTGTTGTTTTAAATTACAGGTTCTATTTCATTTCTAGTGATTGGTCTGTTAAATTATCTGTCTCTTGACTCAGTCTTGACAGGTTTTATATTTTAAGAAACTTGTCCATTTCTTCTAGGTTGTTGAATTTGTTGGCATCTAACTGTTCATAGTATTCTCTTATGATTTTTTATATTTATGTGGTATCAGTTGTTATTTCTCCTCTTTCATTTCTTATTTTG